ATCTAATCCTACATGTTTTTATCATTGATTTCTTTTTTCTCTATGATTTAATTTTTAATTTTTTCCTTCAACTGCTTATAGTTTCAACTATCTTGGATGTTCATAGAAATGGATTTTTGCCAGCTTGTACCCAAGATTCTGATGTTTCTGTAGACACCAAACACGTCTATGTCTAACTAGAAGAAACTATATTAATTAAAATAGAAAACTGGAAGTTTGGGTTTAAGAGATTAATGAACCAATTGATGGGCTGGATCTTGATTACTCGTGTACCGGATGTGGCCCATGGGCCACCAGTTGAATATTTGAATTATAGCTGAATTATTATTACCTGCTCTCATGTGATTGGTTGAAACACCTCTTTCCTTCTCCACAGGGGGAGTACGTCTCCTGCCTCCTGTCGCTCCTCCGTCAGATGACAGACATCCACTTTCAACGCCTGATGGAGAACTTTCAAAGCAAGGATGAGCTCAAGGTAGAAAAACTAAAAACTAACTGTAGTCATATTACTTAGAAAAACAAAGACTAGTCCAACCAGCTGTGCAACACTTGTAAGCTACAGAGATGAGATTAAAACTTYTTTGTCTCTTTCCTCGGCCTTCAGGAGTTCCTGCTGAAGATTCTGTGTGTGTTCAGAAATCTGATGAAGCTCAGCATTTTCCCCCGTGACTGGAACATCATGCGGCTGCTGACCAGCAAGTAAGACACAAAGACGAGCRCGATGACGGGATGTGTTTAAACGAAAGTGAGCAGATTAAAACTGCAGCTTGACTCTCTGCAGCATCATCCTGACCACGACYCAGCAGCTCGGCCCCGCTCTGCACAAGAACTTCTCTGAGTCAGACTTTGACTTCAAGGTACACTGAGTTAAATTTAGCTTTTTTTCATTTCCCGTATTAATAAGTTTGAAGTTATTATTCTCCTCATGCAGACTGTAAAAACAATAAAAGTTCACAGAAACACAAAGAGCAGGATGTGTGTAAGAAGTGTGAGAACTTCAGGAGGTGAATCTCTCCTGTTAACGTTTGATGTCTCACTTTTATTAAAACTGCAGAGCTCCGCATACAGGAAGTGTCTGTAATGTTTGTCTGTGTCCAGGTGTGGAACTCCTACTTCAGCCTGGCTGTTCTTTACATCAACCAGCCGAGTTTGCAGCTGGAAAACCTGAGTCCTGCCAAGAGGAAGAAGATCTTAGACAAGTAAAAACACACAGATGACTGAAGAATAAAAGATGTTCTCGTTCCTGTTGGTTTAATTTCAGAGTTATATCAGCTGCACAAGTTGAAAAAAATCCATTTTATTCTTTAAGCTGCAGAAATCCTATAAACTCAGCTCTACTTCATTAATCTAACTAAAACACATCTTTATTTCAGCAGAGCTCGTTCCTTCATCAGACCATTTCTCTCAAATAAAGCTCCCAAAAAGCTTCTGATACGAAAATACATTAAAAATCAAGAAACTCAAAAGTTCAGCCGGTTCGGATGTTATCAGTCCATTAAATGGATGTTATTAGCGGTTATCAGTCCCATAGAATGGCTTCAGACTGTCAGCTGGTTAATATGAGGCATAAAGCCACTAAGTTTTTTTTAAATAATCTGATTAATATGAGGCATATAGCAACTAAGATTTTTTATGAAATCTGGTTAATATGAGGCATAAAACCACTAAGATTTTTTTATGTAACCTGGTTAATATGAGGCATAAAACCACTAAGATTTTTTAATGCAATCTGGTTAATATGAGGCATAAAACCACTAAGATTTTTTTGTAATCTGGTTAATATGAGACATGAAACCACTAAGATTTTTTTATGTAATCTGGTTAATATGAGGCATAAAACCACTAAGATTTTTTATGTAATCTGGTTAATATGAGGCATAAAACCACTAAGATTTTTTATGTAATCTGGTTAATATGAGGCATAAAACCACTAAGATTTTTTATGTAATCTGGTTAATATGAGGCATAAAACCACTAAGATTTTTTATGTAATCTGGTTAATATGAGG